TCCATACCATTTCACTATTTTACTACATTATTTTACTATTTAATAATTTTATCATTTTATTATTTTACTATCTTATTATTTTAACTGCCTCAAAGTCCTGTAGCAAAGGGCTATTGAGGAAGCAGCAGGTGCAAATACACCTGGAGCTGTAATCACAACCTTGTGCACAGGTGGCCCAGGCAATAAGTCCTCTTCTCACCAAACTAAAGCAGCAATGGGACTCAGCAGCCCTCTGGGTGTCTGAGTAGCCTTTTTAAGGACCACAGTGCTTACCTCCTGGCACAAGGAAGGGGCTAGAAAGGTGCCCTAAAAACTGTCTGCTTCACCTAACCCTGGCCTGCTTATCATAACAAGCAGGGATCCCACCCTGCAGTCGAAACACAAAAACATGTACAAAAGCTTTTGTGAAGATGATCCACTCACCATTGGTATATGAAATGTGCACATTTATGGAATGACAAAGGCAACATGTGGTACAAAGTTCTGGACTGATCATAGATTTATCCTCTCCAAGGTAAAGATGCACATTCAAGAAAAGGGGCAGCCCCAAGGTATGACAACTATCAGAAGACCCAACATCATCAGATTAGCACACTTCTCCTGCGTGTGAACAGTTTGTTACTGCCTTGGAGGGAAAGCTGAGCCAATACACTGTTGGTAACAGTGGAGCAGAAAAGGAGTGAGCAGCTTTCATAGGTTTGATGTACAGCACCACATTTACTCATCTGGGCCAGAATACTTGCAAACATTTATATTGGTTTGATGGAAATTATGGGAAAACTCAGAAGCAACTAAATGAAAAAAGAGAACTCTACAGGGTCTACTGGAAGGATAGTTCATCCATCTCTAAAAAGGCAGCATTTAACTCTATCAAAAGTAAAGTGCAAGCAAAGATTAGAGAAATGCAGGATTCTTGGCTAAGTAAAAAGGCAGATGAAATTCAGTTATACACTGATACCCTGAAGGCTATTTATGGGCCAAAGACCTTTCTCAACTACTCAGCACTGATGGAGCCACCTTAATTAGTGATAGGGACATGGTCCCAAAGAGAATGACTGAACACTTCCATAGTGTTCTCAACAGACCATCATCAATGCTGAAGCCACTGACTGTTCACCTCAGGTAGAAGTCAATCCCTCTGTCGCTCAACTTGCAACTGAAGAGGAGGTTTTGAATGCCATTTGGCTCCTCTCCTGTAGCAAAGCCCCTGGTACTAATTCTATTCCAACAGAGATCTACAAGGCAGGAGATCCACTGCTCATACAAAAGCTGATTTAAATCTTCCAGGTTATGTGGCAAGAGGAGGTTATCCTCCAGGAAGGAGGGGGATGAAGGATGCCTCTACTGTCTATGTCAAGGAAAAGGAAATAAGTTGCCCAATGACAACCACAGTGAGGTCTCTCAGTCACTGCTGGCAAGATTCTTGCTAGATTAATAGGTTCATCCTTCACCTGAAAGATGGGCATCTACCTGAGAGCCAGTGTGGCTTCATAAAGGGCCAAGGAATGGTCAATATATTGTTTGCTGCCTGACAACTCGGGGAGAAACACCAGGAGCAAAAGAGAGATCTATACACAACACCTGTCAATCTGACCAAGGCTTCGGATACTGTCAGTCATAAGGGCCTGTGGAAGATCATGGCGAAATTTGGTTGCTCAGGGAAATTCATAAGTATTGTTCACCAGTTTCAGTTGCCATAAGTATTGTACCAGTTTCATGATGGCATGCTTACATGGGTTCTGAATAATGGACAATACTCTAGGGTTTCCCAGTCACTAATGCAGTGAAAAGCTCAGCTGTGTGCTTGCTACCATGCTTTTTAAAAGCATAATGTTTTCCCTGATGTTGTCAGATACCTTCAAAGAGGACAAAAACAGTACCAAGGTCAACTCCTGCACCAACAGTAAATTTTTTTAACTTGAAAAGGCTGCAGCCAAGACTAAAGTGGAGGGAGAGTTGGTGCACGACTTTTTGTTCACAGATGACTGTGCACTCAATGCAGCATCTGAGTATGACATGCAAGAAGTATGGATCAATTCTCTGCAGCCTGTGCTAATTTTGGCCTGACAATTAACACCAAGAAAACAGAGGTTTTCCACCAACCAGCACCACACCATCCATTCATGGAACCAAGAGTTATAGCAAATGGAGAAATTTTGAATGCTGCGGATACATTCACTTACCTTGGCAATATGCTTTCCAGGAATGTACACATAGATGATGAGGTTGACGCACTCATTGCCAGAGCTAGCTCAGCATTTGGGAGGCTCCAAAAGAATGTGTGTGAGAGAAGAGTAAGTATTAGGCTGCCCCAGCACCATGCCAGAAAACTGAGCTGCTTCCATTTGAATTGTCTTAGGAAGATTCTGAAGATCACCTGGTAAGATAAGATTCCTGACACTAAGGTCCTTTCTCAAGTTGAACTGCCAAGTATTCAAACTCTACTGCAGAGAGCTCAACTCCAAGGGGCTGACCATTTTGTTCAAATGCCAAAAACTGCCTAAAAGACTCTGTTACGGAGGACTCACACAAGGCAGGTGCTCACATGGTGGTCAGAAGAAGTGACACAGGGACACTCTCAAGGTCTCTCTGAAGAACTTTGGAATCGATTGCAAGACCTGGGAGACATGGGCACAAGACCTCCCAGCATGGTGTGCCCTATCAAAGAAGGCACTGTGCTCTATGAGCAAAGCAGAATTTCAGTAGCTCAAAAGAAACATGAGATGGTCCAATTTAGAGACAACTTTACTCCAAATGTTCATATGGACTATCTATACCCAACCTTTGGTACAGCCTTCCAAGCTCATACTGGTGTGACCTGCCAGAGTCAGCCACACTGTACATTGATCTGACATCACGATGTCATTTTGGTCCTCTTCGAGCACTAAGGACAAGCAACAACAATGCCACTTTCAATATCGTGAAGGAACAATGATCAGCAGCACTGAAATTCTGACAGATCCCCATACATATCATATTCAGGTTCCAAAGAACACGGTTTGAGTAACGTTACTTTAAGTCTTAAAGTAGTGAATGCAACATTGTAGGAGTTCCAGCATAGTGCAGAAACAGCCAGCTCAGGGCTGTAACAACGCTCATTTCTTACCTTTATCCCATCACTCTTATCCTAGATAATGCATGTTATCCACTCGCTGCTTGTCAGCCATTACTACTCAAGCCCTAACTCCATAGAAAAGTATAATTTCTAGCCCCTGAATTCTACACTTTTTTTAAAAAACATTTTAAGCTTCTCTTCTCCTGGGCTAGTCTAAATCTGGCTTGTTGCTTTTTTTTTTTTTTAAGTTACTAGAAGGTTTCCCCTCAACATGAAATCTAATCAAAAAGTACACCAATAATGTAGAACGTTACTACAAGGGCAGGGTGTACAAGTTTGAAGACTAAGAGTTTGGAAAAAGACTCCTTTAAGTAAGTAGGGGAAGGCTTTATAGTATAATAGAAAAAATATTCATACTTGGGACTCTCAAATCCTAGCAAAATTCCAGCCTTGCCATCAACTGTGACCACTTGGGCAAGTCACTTAATTTGTCCTGGCCTCTGTAAAATGAGAGGGTGGCCTCAAGTCCCAGCTGGGATACACTGTGTGACCTTCACCAAGTCACTTTACTACCCCCGGGTTTCAGGCCCCACATCTTTAAAAAAGAGGCGTAAGGTTAGATGGTCCCTTCCAGTTTTAAGTCTATAAACCTTTGGAATAGATGTTCTTGAAGTTCCTTCTATCTCAACACTTTAGAATTCCAAGACAGATAATAAAAGAAGTAACCTTAAAAAAAAAAAAAAAGAAAGAAAGACTGGGTTGTCATTTTGTTTTGTGGCTGCAATATTATCATATTGCTGACATTTTCTTTTAAAGGAAAAAACTGCTCTAATGATAGTATCTCAACCTTGTGATACACAGACTAAAATCAGCAGTGAAACTATTGTGTGGGATTTTAATTCTATGACAAGTAACAACAGTATAAATATTAATTGAAGAATTTACATTAAGTGATTGTTATTATCTTAATAAGATAAATATATAACCAATACTTCAAAACCTGTTTCTCTTTTGTTGAATTATATTTTATGGCAATTACTAATAATAAAATTAAGACAATAGACATTCTTATATGCAAAATACCACAGTGATAGTTTGCTTCTATAAATAAGAATAAAGGAGTATGAAGATAGAGTAAAACCCCATTTAACACATCATGAAGCTCTAACTGAACTGAATCTCATGGAATACAGCCCAGAATCACTCAATTTCTTTGGGCCTAATTTCCTTCATCAGTAAAACAAGAGAAATGAATTACATCTCTGAAGTCCTTCGAGCTACAAAATTCAATAATTCTACCCAAAAAAAGAAAACACCCTCTGAGCACTGAGGAAAAACTGCCAAAGAGTTTACCACTCTACACTCCAGGAGTAGGTCAGCCATGGGGCTGGCTAGTATAAATTAAGGTTACTGATTAAATTAGCTTGGTTATGTGAGACAGCCTTCAAATTTGTCCCAAGTTCTATGAGAAAGAAGATGAAAGCAATGACAATGAAGGACCATTGGGGGAAGACTGAGAATATGAGACATGATGTAGGTAGGTATAGTGGACAGTGATAGAGAAATCCACAATATCACTAACAGCGTAGGGCCCCTTGGTGCAGAAACAAAGAGGCCCACCCACCCTCAATACTCTGGGCTATAAAGAAGGTTAACCTATGTTCAATTTATTCTGCTTAATGAAATAAGAAAGTGTATAATGCATTTTAGAAAGATTTTCTTAAAAACTGTTTTGTTGCCTAAAGTGATAAACTTTAGCTAAGAAGAAACTTCACTCGTTAGCTTTTTTACCAGTGCTATATAACTGAGCCATTACTATGTACAAGCAAAGCAAAACTCAGTGATGTAAAAGTGATGTTCACCTCTTCTGACATAAAAAGACAAACTCATCTCTTTTCAGGAGTGATATTTAAAAAACCTATCAAGTATCACAAAGTTACAGTACCTTGTAAAGAAGTTAGTAAATGGTCCCAATATTTTCAACTTGCTATCCACTTCTGTTTCTTCACCACAGGCATGGAGGTTTTGATCACTGATTTCTTTTGAGGAGTTTAATGTAATATCTGAAAAATGAGTTTCATCATTCTCAAGAGTCACGATCGCACTTGAATTACTGGTGACCACCAAGTCTAAGATATCTTCATTACTAACGGATAAGGTTGTGGATAGTTCGGTACTGAGACTTGATACACTGCATACAGAGATATCATCACTTCGAGTCAGAACTTTAGAGGTGGGACTGTAGAGCTTCACTGTGTCATATCCAGTTCTTGGGAAAGTTGAAGACTTCCGTACACGATGTTCCCGTTCAGTGTTTGTAGAAAGAGGAGGTAAATAGGATGGGAGCGTGCCTGCACTCTGAAAAGTTCGATCAGGGACAATTTCTGGCTCAGATGGTTTTCTTTTGACGTTTAACACGCTGCAGTGGACAGGTTCTGGGTCCCCTATTTCCAGGGTTGGAATACCTGAATCCACTGATTTAAGGCTATGTCTATCATCTACATCACTGAGTTTCAACTTAGGTTTATAATCAGACAATGAAAGGGATCTAGGGGTCTTTACATTCAAACATTGAAGATTCTGAACATGATTGCCTGACCTCTCGTCCAGAACTTTCATCGAGCTGAAGCCATTTGTTGAAGGGGAAAGATTCCCATCAGTCATCTTGGTCCAAGAAGTAACTAGATAAAAGCGTAAGGTTAAAGAAATAAGATGAGAACACATGCAGCACCTTACCCTCTAATACAAAACCCCATTTCTTCCTCTCCTAATCATTCCCATTCCACACAAAATCCTGCACACCTGACCTTGGACTACATATATACATACATATATACCTTGGACTACAAGGTGAATCACCAACATGTATGCCCTCCTCCCTCACATGTATGGCCAGACTGAAATGCATTACCAAGAGAATACCACATTACTAATACATTTGAGACTAGTCAAATTAGACATTTTTACTCCCTGGCTATTTCCTTAGCAATCACTTTGCCAGCTGGACTACATCCTGGATGATTCCAATTTGTTTAGTTCTGGAATTCTCATTCAACAGCCCCCACTGTCCTGACTAGAGAGGGCCTCTCCTGGTCAGTTCCGGCCATGCTGTACTTGACTCTCAGACTATCTTTTCTCCAACTGCCTTTGAGATGCTCCACCCCCCTCCCCCTTCCCACTTTCTGGTTCTAGAACCATAATCAATTCAATACTGTCACTGCTAATGGAAAGAGTGCATCAACCTACTACCTACAGCTACATTCGACATCTTGTACCTTTTCAACCTAAAATCCCCTCCCATGTCACCATTCTCCTATAAGTTCTGCCTCCTTCTACTAATTTAATAGCAGATTGAGAGCAAGAACTGCCTCTGCTTTTGTACTTTTATCCCCAGTGTTTACCACAGTCCTTTGCACACAGTAAGCAATTAATAAATGCTTTTTCAATCATTCATTGTCATAACTTATAAAAAGCTATTTCTAACTCAGGAGGCCATATTTTAAAGGTATATGCAGGCTATTTTAGTGGTGAGAAAGAGTTGAAAGGATGCCAACTGGGGAATGGCTTAACAAGTTGTAGGATATGAATGAGATGGAATACTATGGTGCTATAAGAAATAATGAGGGAGGTGGTTTCAGAAAAACCTGGAAGGACTTATATGAACTGATACAAAACGAAGTGAGCAGAACTAAGAGAACAATCTTACACAGTAATAGCAATATTGTAAAGATAATCAACTATGAAAGATTAGTAATTCTGATCAATACAATGATCCACCATAACTCTACATGACTTATGATGTAAAATTCTATCCAACTCCAGATGAAGAACTGATGGTCTCAAAGTGCAGACTGAAGCATTTTTCCCTTTATTTTTCTTGGTCTTTTTTTTTACATGGCTAATGAAGATATGTTTTGCATGACTTGATATGCACGATGGGCATCATATTTCTTGTCTTCTCAATAGTTGAGGGATAGGGAGATATAGAGAGAAAAAACTTGGAGTTGAAAATAAAAATTTTAAAATAATGGTATATGCAAGAAAACTTGAGAGGTTCATAGGAGAGAAAAATCATGGGGCAGGGAATAAATAAAAAATATGGGGCAGGGAAAGTGAGAAAAAAGTGACTGAAGGAAATTAGAGGTTATAGGAATGAGTCATGGTAATAAGCATTGCTTAGCCCAAGAAAGAATACTCAAAGTTGGTAAATACAAAATACTATTATAAAGATAGTGCAATCATAAATCAGCAACTCAGGGAATGAGATCTTAGAGATCATTCAGTCCAACAGTCCTTGTATTCACGGAATTGTAAGAAAACCAATCTGATGAGTGTATGTTTGGCAGAAGTGGGAAATTATAACAGGTAGGGGACAGAGCACTTTTAAGATTGAATAGTGTTATCTCATTTGATCCTCACAACAATCCTGTGAGAAAAAGTGCTTTTACTGTCAGTACTTTATAGATAAGGAAACTAAAGCTGAGAGAGATTAAATGACTTATCCTAGGTCATCTAGTAGTAAGGGTTAGAAGCAGAAATGGAACTCATATCTTCCTGACTCCCAGTCCAGCAGTGAGATCTGGCGGGCAGAGAGGTGATGCAATGGATAGAGCACTGACCGTGAAGTCAGGAGGACATAAGTTCAAATCCGGCCTCAGACCAAACACTTGATACTTACTAGCTGTGTGACCCTGGGCAAGTCATTTAACCCTAATTGCCTAAAAAAAAAATTAAAAATAAAAAAAAAGAGAATCTGAGATCTGAGTACTGCCATGGTAGGAAACAGGGAGCTATGATGTCTCTATAGAAGGGGTTGTAGTCCTACTCCAGTCCTTCATTATGGTATAGATATAAGGCTCAAAGACTGGTTCAGTGGACTACAAGTACCAAGGTACAAAGCCTTCCAATTTACTTCTAGTGATCTGTGTCTATCCTCCAAGGGCCAGCTGAGCACAGCTGAGAGAGGCAAGTAGAGCAAGTGGGTGATGAATTTTTGTCACCACAGCAACTCATGAAGTCCCTTCACTAAACCATAGAGAAGTTACAATATGAAAGAAGATGGAGTGATGAGATCACAGATCTCTTAAGTATTAAGGTATAAGAATATTTGTGTCATGGCATTTTGGTTTGTGGTATTTGATTTTTCCCCTAAATTACAGATTCCATGAGGAAAGGCACTACCCCTTAGATATCTGTGCATAAGCCCCCACATCCTCTCAACTAGCTAGTTTTGAACATAATAAAGGTGCTTTTAAAATGGCTAAGATGAAATAAAAGTCATAATGAAAACCATGCTTTCATCTGAAACTAAACATGTCTAAAACCAAATTACTGATCTTCCTCTGCCAAGCTGATTTGACTTTCCAGCTATCCTATTTCTATTAATTGTAATGCCATTCTTAGAATCTCTAACAATTCAACAAACATCCATTGAGCTATTCAAGAAAAGTGACTAAGTTACGCATACATACATGGCAAGGAAATAAGAAACAAAAGAACTAAGAAATGCCAAAATAATCATAGCAGCACTCTATTCAGTAACACAGAACCAGAAACAAAATGAGTTATGGGATGGCTTGATTAGGGAATGGCTGAAAAAACTATGGCATATGAATGTCATGGCATATAGTCACTTAATAAGAAATGATAAATGAAGAATGTGGAGAAACATGACAAGAAATATATGGAATAATATAAAGTGAAACAAACCAAATCAAGAGAAAAATCTATGTCTACACTCTAAATGAAAAGACAACTTAAGTAGAAGCTGAATTCCAAGTAACAGAAAAACCAGTAAGGGATCCAGATACTAATGAACCATACTTCCTTCTTGATGGTAGAGGTGGGCAACTAGGAAGACAGAATACTCTATGTACTGTCAGACAGAGTTTTTGTGTCAGATATTTTTGTTTAACTGTTTCTTCCCTGTCACAAGAGAGAGTTTAATCTGGAAGGGAGGGGCAAGAAACTGTGATGTAAAGACAAATAGTAACAACATAACATTAAAATATACTTACTGAGCATCTACTACAGAGGAAGCACTAGCTCAAGGCTGAGGGAAATCTGAAAGGCATTGAAGTATGGTACCACCTTCAAGGAGCATATAAAAACTAGTAGAACAGCATTTCTCAAACTTTTGGGGATCTCTATGTTTTTAGAAATTAGTGAGGATCTCCAAAAGAGCTTTTGTTTATGTGGGTTATAACTGTCAATATTTATTGTATTAGAAATTAAAATGTCTTAGAATTATCATGAAAATAGCTCTGAAAGGGTCTCCTGCACCACAAGATATGCACACAAACAACTATAATTTGAAGTAGCATCCTACTAAGTGCACTGGGTAGGTCACAGTGACATGAGACTAGAGGGTGGGGATGAGGGAAGGAGAACTGGGAGATTAGAAAAGTAAATAGCAGACATTTAAGTAGAGTATAAAAAGTACCTAAGTAGGGGCAGCTAGGCAGTGCAGTAGATAGAGCACCAGTCCTGGAGTCAGGTGGACCTGAGTTTAAATCTGGCCTCAGACACATAACACTCACTAGCTGTGTGGCCCTGAGTAAGTCACTTAACCCCACTGCCTAGCTTAAAAAAAAAAGGGGGGGAAAGTACCTAAAATATCTAAGACAGGTACAAAGTACTAAGAGTTCAAATGAAGGCACTCCCAGGTTTGAAATTTTGTTATCTTTGATATCACTGATTTCCAGTCATCTATTACCTCTCTAATTCCCTATTCTCCATTTCCACCAATATTTCCTCAACTCAGACCTTCATTACCCTTAGATTATAGAGCCCTTCCTGCCTAGTCTCCTTACACTCAGTATTTCCCAAACCTAAGTGCCTTGAATACTACACCTAAACTGATATTTCTAAGAATTCACAACTCCCTACTTTTTTTGGGGGGGGGGGGTGAGGCAATCAGGGTTAAGTGACTTGCCCAAGGTCACACAGCTACTACTTGTCAAGTGACTGAGGCCAAATTTGAACTCAGGTCCTCCTGACTCCAAGGCCAGATTTCTATCGAGCTGCCCCAATGACTCCCTATTTTCTAACACAACCAATCCAAATACTCCTTTTGCCTAGGTTTTCCAGGCTCTTTCTCACATCTCAGGATATTAGATTCTCTCCTTTCCTTTAAGGCCCAACTCAGATGCCAGTTCTTCTGTAAAGCCTTCTCTTACCATTCTCTACTTCCTTTCTTCCTCTATGAAAGAGATCTCTCCCTCCTAAGATTTCTCAGGGCACTTTCCCTGGGTCTTACTTTTGATTTAAAGATGGAAGGAAGGAAAATGAAAACTTTTTAAGTGCCTACTATGTGCCAGGCAATGTGCTAAGCACTTCACAAATATTATCTCATGAGAGAAACTAAGACACCTGTATGGTTATCCGTTATTTATCTTGCCTGTTAGAATGGAAGCATCTTGTTAACAGGGCTTATGTCCTATCTGACTTTGTTTTGTACTTTGTACACAACAAGCATTTAATGAATATCTATTCACTTGATTTGAAATCAGTTAAGTAAGATAAGTATCTTTATCCCTGCTCTATGGAGAAGGAGACACTGGTCCATAGTCATATGGGTAGTGAGTGGAAAAGTCAGAACTTTGCAGCTAGGTGGTGCAGTGTATAGAGTACGTGGCCTGGAGTCAGAAGGACCCGAATTCAAATCTTGGCCTCTGACACT